TTTTTGAATATGTAAGCTTAATCAATTACTTCTGTATTTTATAAATTGTAAATTTTAATAAGATTCTTTAGTGAGCCATAAACTAGCTAAAGAAAGAATACTTTTGGTTTAGTTGTGATTCTTCAACGAGATCTTTGCAGTCATCAAAATACGACTCTAAACTCTTTGATAATCCGTGTTCAGCCCTCTCCATTTCAGCCAGAAACAATTTTGCAGCATTGCCCCTGGGACACAACCCATATATAATATAAAATTAATAATAATGCATGGAAAGATGTAGCTATAAAGAAGAGCCTAAACCTTGGCTAAAAGACGTGGTCCATCAAGCAAAGGCTTGACTATGAGAATTACTCGGGGGCTTTAGTCTCAAGTTAGTCTCCAAGAGGCAGAGTTGGGGAAATAAATCATCGAGTAGCATAGATAGGGTGGCAGAAGTCGAGTGAAATTCTTGAACTAGGGAGATAGAAGACGGAACCAACAGGGCAAGATGGAGATTCTGCTTAACAATAGGGCAGGTTTTGATTAATATTCCTAACACAAGGATGTAGAGGAATGAGGGTGGTGAGTAAGCCAGCGTGGGGTATGTAGAATTTTCATGAAAGCCGCTCAAAAGGGCACACCATACCACATCCAAATATGCAAGTACAAAATTTTGATACTGAAGGTATGATACGAGGATATAGGACTAGTGATTAGCCCAGGGCGGGAGGAGAGATACCACGATTACTTGGCAGACAATCGGTCAAAGGATCGGGTTCACTTGTCTCTTTTGAGTTGTAGTGTGGTGCTAAGACTGGCAATGCTCACTGACGATGCCGTCGAAACGTATAAGAAAATACCGCCTCCACAATCCGACTCTGAAAATTATCATGCATTCTATAGGCTCCGGATTATATGCATTCCTCCAGGTCTTCCTACCCATATGACTCGGTTGGGAAAACAATATCAAACAAAGTATCATGCTTACTTCATTCCACTCCTGTTATAATGCGAAATTTCTCTCTATTAATCTGATTATATTTGAGTATTTTTCCAGCTCTGCTCTTTTGTGATATTTTCTGCTTATTGTTTATTATCATAGGTCATGGGCTTAATAAAACCCTTCCAGTATATTCACCAAAATCGCGCTTTTCTCCTCATAATAGAATCACGATTATGAACAAGCCTCCGTCAGTTAGCTCTCTTTTTATGAATACTAATTCTCATTACAAGGCCATTGTTTGGATAGATTATTTTGATAACAATCATAGAATTGTGATGATGAGCGATATATTAGGGCTTGAACGAATATTCTTTTACCTGATCCTTTCAGATTAATGATAGAGATGAAGGACTTGGTTACAGGTGACACATGGCTTTGGGAGAGGGGCATATTTATGGATCGACGCTATCTAATGCAGGTAAAATCTATAGTCCTTTAGCAACCAATTTATTTCAATATTTGGACTTGTTTCAAATAATCATTACAAATACTTACTACCATTTTTTTTTTTCATCTTTCTCTTTAATGCATATTATATATTTTACCTTCTCAATTTTCTCCAATCATCCCACACATCCATGACTTTCCAGGAAATGTACCAGTCTTATGTACAGGCCGGCGGCATCATCAGACCAAGCAAATCCGACCCTTTCTTTGAAACAGACGAAACCCTATTAGTGGGAACTGCTCCCGCCTTCCTACAGGCCCTCGCCTATCGCATGGACATTGAGACAAGCCTTCAGGTGACTAGTATCTCCGGCGATGTGGTGGGAATACTCAATCTGCGTCTGCAACCTTGTAATCGGTCAGGTCGTTTGCTTTGTGACAAATTTGGTGAAGACATTTTCGTCGAGCAACCAATGGACTTGCTTAACAAGCCATACCACTTTAAGGTAGATTTTTCATTTCCTCTTTCTACTAACGATAATCAACCTTGAATTATCAGTTATATAACACATCCTGCAACTGAGAGCATTTTTATCCCTTGGAGTTGATGTGGATCAAGCAAGGTCTGAGGCAAGTTTTTCTTTACGAGGAAAGACTTTGGAGGCTTACCACCTGAACTTTTCCTTTATCTAGGCATCGTCTCTTTTGTGGGGCTTTCTAGTTCACCAGTTAGGTTATGCATCATTTGTTGACCAGTTTGAATAATCGGTTATATCCAGATAACTTAGCTCAGAATATGAAATTCATGACCAAACTTTTAAAAGATTTGTATATTATCTTATATGAGAGCCTCATAATTGCCAAATTAGTTAATTTGTGCATTTAGTCTTTATTCTCTTCTTGTCTTGTACACTGAAATTGAACTTTTTCTAGATGGAATTGAAAACTTTGACGCTCTTCAATCCGGCCCACCAGCGAGGAGTGAAGGTAAACTATCGTGTCTTTAAGGATGTCAAGGAGACTTGCCTTTGTCTTGATGATCTAACGCCGCCAGCAAATGAGGCCTCATGTGACACATTTATGCTATTACACACTCGCATCGTCAGCTTTCCGCGTACCCAGCAGAGTCATATCGATTACTTCCTCAACAGCTACATTTGTTTCATTATATTTGGATCGCAGCCAAGTGCAATAACAATGAC